TTACCCTGTTATAAGCAGTCCTAAATCTCACTTTGCTGCACACACCTGTAAGTCTGAAGCCCGGAGGTGAGGAGCCTCCCTCCCTGGCTCCAGATCTGGGCTCTTCGGCTCTGTCCCAGCTGCTCTGTGGGCACATGAAGCCTCTCTCTCTATCCTCCCCTCCCCTCGCCTTCCAAGCACTCCTAGCGCTCTCCCCCTTCCCCAACAACTCCACCATCTCCACTCCTGCCTTCCTCCTCCTCCCCTGAACAGCTCCCCTTGTAGCTGCTCCAGATCTTCCAACTTCCAATTTTCCTCCTGAGCATCCAACCTGAGCTGCCTTTTGCCACCTGCCAAGGACACAAGGAGCAATGGAGACACCAGCATTTCACAGAATCATAGAATGGTTTGGGTTGGAAGGGACCTTTAAAGGTCACCTAGTCCAACCCACCCTGCAATGAGCAGGGACATCTTCAACCAGATCAGGTTGCTCAGAGCCCCATCCAACCTGACCTTGAATATTTCCAGGCATGGGGCATCTACCACCTCTCTGGACAACCTGTTCCAGTGTTTCACCACCCTCATTGTAAAAAATTTCTTCCTTATATCTAGTCTGAGAAGAGAAGTGGGGCAGGTCCTTGTCCATGGGAGATCGGTGGGGCAGGGATGCGAGCAGTGGGACATAGCACAGGTCTCTACTGCAGGAGAACCCAGGACAGCGAGGGCAGCTGAGGTGAGGGTGTCCCATGGTCCTGCTGCACTCAAGGTAGCACAAGATTGCCTTAGAGGACAGCCTGCAGCAGCCCGCAGTGCAAGTAATGGGCACCCCATGGTGTGGGTGCTCATCACTGCCTGCCACGTGGGTGCCAACTCTTGATATTCCCCAGGACAGCGGTGCAGGGCAGCGTGAGGGTGGAGATAGCCCGTGAAGGCCGTGGGACTAATCAGAAAGACCTCCCTCACTCCATGGTATGGCACCGAGGAGCACAGCTAAGACACATTTGTTAACACTCTTGCCGGAGATGTTGGCAAGAGCCATTTGGCACTTGGGAAGGAAAAAGGTCTTCGTGTCTCGTCTTAACACCCTTCCGGTCCTATCTGTAGTCTGGATTTTTCCTCCTCTCCAGTGACAAGCACAGGAGCTGTTGTGAAACGTGATGAGTCATAGCTGCAGGCTGCAAGGGGAAGGCAAGGTAAAGGGAGAGCTGGAACAGAGCGAGATGGGAGGGAAAGCTGCTGTCACTAACCAGCCTCTAAGTCATTGCTGCATAGCTACCACCGGCTTCTCTGCAATACCACATACACATGCCTTCAGCTTTCCCTGGCTAAATCCGTGGGATGAGGAGGAACTGGAGAACAGCCACCCTATGTTAAACATTGCTGCCTGAGAGCAGCACAAGAGTCACTGTGCGCTTTTAACCAGAAGATGCAGTAGAAACTGCCCCTGTAATGGTGGCAAGTTGGGAAGAGTTTGTCAGGCAGCTAATCTAGGAGGAAAGCAGCACTTTGAAAAGGCCAAGAGGAACTTGTCTGGATCAAGATACGCTGAAACTGCCTTTACTGTTGCCTTTCATGAAACTTGGCAGCGATCACCCATCCTGGCTGCTCTGCTTCGCCATATGTCCTATCTCCAGTGGCACCACAAATATGCTGGGAAAAATCTTCCTGTGCCAAATGTTTCAAACACAAATATAGAAGGATAGAAGTCTTTTAGGTCACGGATTTGATTTACACCTAATATCTTTTTCATGCAGTAATTTGAATATAAATGTGATAGTGTCATAGACACAGGGCATCTATTCTGGCACTGTCAAGTGCTGCAGTATTGAATGCCTGCAGAAACACACCTCCTTAGATCCCCAATGCTGATGTAGAGCAGGAACAGGTATTTCTTAGGTTGCTATTGAGTTGTGCATGGGAAACAGTTTTCCCACCTTAGAAAACACATTCACAGCCTCATAAGTGTACAAGCTCCATGACAAAGCTGGTGCTATTCACAGCCCTTAGTGAAGAAACCAAGACAGAGAGACCCACCTCCCAGCACAGGCAGCACAAGGACAACTTGCTGGAGCTATGGAACACTTCAACTCAAGTGACCACTCCACTTAATTCAGGTGAAAAACTTGAACCTCAGTCTATCACATACCAGTCTTGAAACAAATTTCAGTTAAACTGATCTTCTCTCTCGCCAGAAAGATTATTCTCTGCTGGATTGTGTCTTGCTTCTGGTTCAAATTGCAGCATTTATTCCCATCAGAGAACTTCATTTTCAATTAACTGCATTTTTTTTGACCAAAACCAAAAGCAAAACACTGTCACTTAAAAATGTCTAGCCAATTCTACATGAAAATCTGCTCTGAGGCCTGCTTATCTCAGTGTTTCTATGAGAGCTGACAGTTGCTGAAATATAGGCACTAGGATTGCTAGTGTTGACAAGGCTTTAAAGCATCATCACACTGAGTAGCCATTAGAGGTTATATTTCATTGGAAGTAATGTAATTCAATTACCATCACTCTTTAGCATGTCCCATCTCTGGAGGCTGACAATAAGCCATATCATCCATCAGATTTTAACCTGAACTTTGCATGCTGGCCCTATAGATTGCCAGTTCTCCATTATGAATGGCTTCATATTTTTAGTGTCATTTCTTAGGGAAAAGAGGTTATCCAATTATATTGTACATCCATCTGCCTGCCTGTCCTTCGTTAGCTTTTCAACCAGTTTCAATCAGGAGGCAAAGGTCTTCAAGAAAATTAAGTTCCTATCAGTTTTGTGACTAATCAGAGGCAGGGTAAAGAAGAGAAATTATTTGCATGTCCCACTTGGGAGTGGTGAGCTATGTAATCCCTGCAAACTGACAATCTGGTGAGCATGGACAGCTAACAGTCTCTTTCTCCGTGCAAGAAACACAAAAGGCTGGGGAATTTGTGTTACTGCAGGGACAGAAGGTCATGGAGACCCATGTCTTGGACTGTGAGACACAAACCCCTAGGAAAACAGACTCCTTTACAACTGCTGTTCATGAAACACCTGTTTTATTAACACAGTGAGCTTAGTAACTTACGAAGAATTTCTTGTGCATATTTCTTCAGCAAAGAATGTTTTGAGTAATTCACTCCAACAGTCAAACATATTGCAAACCCAAAATATAAATTGCACAGAAAAGCGATGTAACATTTGCTTTCCCAAGTCTATGCGTTTAAACTCTACCACTAACCAGATTTTCTTTTTCTGAATATCTGAAGTGTAGATTAACTGATTCACTATGTTTATCTGTTTAAACGATTACTCTTACTGATGATTATCAACATTACTGATTCATATTACCACTGTTGTTCTGCCTTTTTGCTGCCTAACTGAACCATAAAAGTACTCATGACTTCACCAGTTCTTTATGCCATTCATCAGCTGCACAAGGCTTGTGACTTACGACAACTTACTCACTCCTCACAGGCAACTTGTTTGCATCTGTCATTTTATCCATTCCCTTTCTCTCTTTCTCCCCATCCTTCCAACCTTTTCCTCCTCCATACTGCCATTTTTGCTAAGTCCCTTTTCTTTGGCCTTTCCCACTCACTGGTTCTCACCATCCCCCCCTCTCCCATGTCCACACATTCTGCATTCCAGCCTTGCCCCTCATTCTACCACCTCTTCTTCTGCCTCCCACATACACTGTCATGATCTGTACCTTCTGGTTTCCTCCTCTAGCCTGCTCTTTGCTCAGAAGACAGTCCCCTCCCCCTCTCTACCTTCCCTCTCTCACACAAAATGTTACTGGAAAGGGATCAGTGAACCTGGACACCCCCATAAAAACACTTCTGCTGGACCTTCCTGGTCCTGCTTCCTCAGACTCCTCCATGGAGCACATATATGGAAGCTGGACTGCCCTCTTGCTCCTTCTGTTTTCACCTGCCCACTCATCACCATCTTCTCATGTTTCCTCCCGCTCTCACTACTGTCCCACTCAGCTCCTTCCCCACCCTTTTCCCAGTTACCATCGCTGCCCTCTGACACAGGTTATCTTCAGCTACACCCAAAGCCACTCGCTACCACTTTAACTCCTTGTTGAGCATCTGTCTTTGCAATCATCAGTCGACCATTGTCACCTTCTCCTCTGTGCTTCTAATGAACCCCAGTGAATACACAGCTTCCCTTCACTTTAGACATTTGCTTACCCTTCAAACCTGCCATCCTCTTCCTCAAATACAACTGCTTCTCTAGTCCTTGTCAACTTTGGAGGTTGATATTTTACTGCTAGAAGAGGTTGCCTTCTACTATTTGGGGAGCTACCTGCTCAATTTCAGACTCCCCCTGCCCACCATCTACCCAGGGCATGGACCCCAGTGTACCTCAGATGTCTCAAGTGTCCCCAGGTAAGGGTCACATCGCACACACACAAACACACGTGCACACACATATGCAGGTTTGCCAGTCTAACCCACATCTGAAAGACCAAGTTTTACTCATCCCTCACACCCATTACTTGTTCCTGCTGCCATCCCGCAGGGAACACCAGCTGAAGTTTCAGGACAAGACCACCAAGCTTCATACTCTCATTCTTATACTTTTAATAACTTTTATCCACTTCTATTTCTCATTTTCTCATCCACATATGCCATCCTTTACCTCCCCCTCTGCTTTCTTTTGTCAATTCCTAGAAAGCCTGCACACAAAAGGCAGTGACTTTGTCTCATTTTAGGTCTCTACTAAAAGGACAGATTTACAGATCTTAAAGTACATCCTTTAGTCTTCAGTGACCAGCTCGGGCCATCAGTCTCCATTGCTTGTATCTAAATTGTCATCCATCCGCATTATTACTCATTCCTCATTTTGTCACCTTTTCCCTCTCCCGTATTCATTATACCACCCACAGGGCCTTGTTTCTAATTAGACTGCAAGATACTTAAAGCAGAAACAGCGCTTGTACAGCACCTAGCACAACAGGGGCTTGTAGGAGCTATCGAGTATTTTTCCCATGGAACGTAAGGATCACGACTGCCCAGGACAAGCGGGAACTTACCGAGCCGTACAGTTCCCCTTTCTCATTCATTCCAAGGTAGAGTCCACTGTCGACTCCTCGGATGCTGACCAAGCCCACTGCTATACTGATAAATTCCAGTATACCTATAAAATGCAGGAAAAAACAAACAATGTACATGTTGTTTCCACTGAAAGATTTTTTTTTTTTAGATGCAACTGATCCCTGAGCAACAAGCAGCTATTTTCAAAGGTGTCTTCCCATTTTCAGAGTTGTTTGGAGGAAGATGAGGAACAAATGAATCTGTCTTAAAGGACGATACTTGAACAGTGAAGTCCTTTGAGTCTCTGCTAGAATGATGCATTGCAGACAGCATTGACATACCAAATTAAAAGATTACTCTCAATCTTTCTCATCATTTCTAAACACAAATCTAAAGCTCAGTCATATTCTGATTTGCACAACAAATAATACATTCAAAGAGAAAACACCCAAGTTTTTAGATTGCCAAAATTAGCAGTATTAAAGAACCTATGAAATTTGTCTAGCAAAATAAATTCTGAAAAAATACATTTGAATGCGGATTGTGAGATGAAAACAATGTTACACATGGAGCCAAAAGATCTGCTTCCAGGCATCAATGAATCAGGAATATGTGGAAAGATTTACTCACAGTATCATCTTCCAGAGGCTTGAGAAATGAAAATCCTTAGCATAGTCCAGAGTCTCACACATTTCTGTCTAGATATTAACCATCTCTCTGGTGTGTTATTTTTGACTCACCTCAAATTTGGAAGGAAAAAAAAAAAAATTCTAAACCTAAGTAACAGTGTATAAATGATTGAGTCTTCCTGTGAATGTAACAGCAAATTCACACAGATGTTTCTGCACCAGAGAAGAGTTTCTGCACATTTTGTAGAGAAGCACTGCTTCTGCAAAGCTCCTAGGTTCAGCATCAACACGCACAGTGCAGCAAGTGTCTGTATCAACTATCAGCTCATCTGGTTCTGAGGGTTTGGGGTTTTTTTGGCAGCCTTCCCTGCAAATTGCTTACCTCCTTCAGTGAGGATGCTACCAGCCAAACCTGCCTAAGCCTAGAAGTCTTGTGGAAAAAAATGGAAATTGCTTCCTACTTGGGAGCATTCGTGTAAGACGGTAATGATCTCACTGGAGTTATCCAGCAACATTCAGAAGCATACTGCTGTGTTATGCTACTTTCTGAACCACAAAATAAAGCACAGGGTAGCATTTTCAATATATTTTGTGAATTTTCATGTCTAAGCACACCATATAACTATTTTTAAAGCTTATTGGAAACTATATTTACATGAAATAATAAAATAACAGTATAGTACGTGTTGAGCCTCATGTGGCCAATAAAAAAGCACTTTCATGGATTTTTTGAACAATTAATTTGGCATCTCCCACAAAATAGTTGAGCACTGATCAATAACAGGCATGAATCACATAAATCTAATACAGCACAAGTTGAAGCCAATAGGGAAAATTTATAGCCAAGCTAATGTAAAGATGAAATGTATTCCCTGTAAGGGACTATTGATCATTACCTTATATATTATTCAGTACTACAAACACCATAGTCTCATTGTTTTGATAAGCCTGTTTTAAGGCCTGGGCATCTTAAATTATTCTCTGCATATGCACAAATAAAAAATACCAGGAGGAAATATTTAGTTATTATGGATTTTTTTTTTGAGGTAATAAAAAGTGGTAGCATGCTGTTTATCTGATATATGTAGTATCTCAGATACAATTGATCCATTGAAACAATTTAAACATTCCTGTTATATCTGGGCATGAAATACATCCAGATTTCTTACTAAGGCTTCTTCTGAAAAGCTCTTACCAAACTATTGTATTACCTGATACATATTACCAAGCAATTTTAACTGAGGTTAAATCTTATATTAAACGTGTAATATACCATACTACAGCTAAGTTAGTAAGTCTGGCATCTTTCTCATCAGTATAAATGTAGACTTTAATTGCTGTCCTTGTTTCAAATATTTGGGTGCATGCTGCTTAGCGTGTCAAAAGAACAAAAAAGCACTGTCACATCCTATTGTAAGCGCAGAAGATGAATTTAAGGTACTTGGCAAAGCGCATCCACATATTTGAGATCAGAATAGAGACTTGTTCATTTGAAATATTCAAAAGCCTATTCACTGCAAGTTTTATGTGCCATGCTGTTAGGTCCTTCAAGAGATTATCTGGGGCCAAGCATGCAGTCTTACACAAGTCTTGCCAGTTTAAGGATCGCATGATTTGGCCCAACACTCTGGTGAATATTTTCACTGTATAGTTTCTATAATATACAGATAGTACTTAGGACCTGAACCAGATATTAAAATAGATATTCCTCTTCAGAATGAGGCTGGACCAAACAAAATTCAGGACAGCTCCAAACTTTAAAAGCTAGAGCCCTATTTATAGCTAAAAATGGGGGATGGAAAAAAAGGAGAGAGGAAGTAATTATTACTCTACCCTTAATTGGTTTAGTGGTGGACTTGGTAGTGTTAGGTTAATGGTCGGACTGGATGATCTTAAAGGTCTTTTCCAACCTAGACAATTCTATGATTCTAAGTAACTGTGTCAGTACATGGGATGCTGAGTGTCTTCTTGTCAGACATTGAACATTTTCTTTGATGAAACCACTTCAAGGCAAAGACCCACTCCTCCACAAAGAGGTTAGGAAGAAAGTTTTGGGGAAAGTTATTCCTTACACGTCCACATCAGCCCTTCAGGCACCTTCTTCCACACGATCCAACTTTGACCATGCTGGGTGGCAGCAGGACACCAGCCTGACCGTGAAGGCCAGTCCTGCTCTCCTGCCAGGCTCACAGGAGAGAGGAGGTGGGTCGTTCACACAACGTGGAATTTTAACTTTCATCTAGTTTAGCCCTAGTGAAGAACAGGCTTACAGAAGCCTTTGCCTCGGCTTTAAGCAATGAACATCTTTGCAACTACAGGTCTTGGTGTTCCGCCCTTTGCACATTTTTGTCTTTGGCTATATATAGGCTCTCTTTGTATTGCTGGATTGAAGCAATTTAGCTTCCACTTAGCACCCTAACACACCACCTACGAATACGGTAAACAAGCATCTCTGC